ACATACAGTCAATTCACTTTACAGTATATTCTGTGAAGCGCTTTGAGACGTCTAGAAGATGTGATAAGGCGCTATATCAAATGCAAGGATTATTATCCCTAACGTTAGAGGAATGAACTGTTAGGGCCAATTCAATAACATAGGGCTTTTCAGATTTGAAAGCAGTGTCTCAGAAGGAACCTTATAAAGATTGCAAATAGAATTGAGAAAGTAAACCCCAAATAATTATTTCAGAGAAGTCAAGGCAAAAGAACAAGAGGACAGATAGCAGGAAGTATTTATTTACACAGATTGGAATGGGTCACAGGTCCGAGGCCAGAGCACTGCATTCATTTTAAGCAACAGCTTGTTGCTGCAATGAGAAGATAGTAGGATAGGTATTCTGAAAAAATGATGTGAAATGAGTCGAAAGGCCTTCTTCATCCTCACTTCTTTTGTGATATTTTCTTTTCTGATATTTTCTTTAGGAACACCATATGCAGATACAGAATGTATGAGGTGTCCAAAGGGCTTTTTCTCGGCCATTTGGTCTGCCAAACACCCCTGTAAAAAGCACTCAAATTGCACTGCTATTGGTTTAAAATTGGCTTTTCGAGGAGATGCATTTCAAGATAGCATTTGCAAGCCATGTGAGAACAAAAATGCTTTGGACTCAGAATGTTTAGATCCTCCAATTTATAACAGTAAGTACTTGCACGTATAAAGCAGTATTTTGTTAAGTTTGTAATACTTGGCATGTTTATTATGTGTATTGCCCAGTCCAGTAATCCTTGACCAAGATTGAGTTAGCTGCAATTGAAAACTATTAAAAGACAAAATGATCTTTTATCAGTCTGCCAGAATGTTGAGTTTGAAATAAAACTCGACGGGATTCGATAATTTTAACTTCCAAATGACTTTGCTGAAAATCTACAATTCTGTACAATATGAAGGTTCCTGCATGTGTCAAGACATTCAGCTGACCAAAAATAAGGTATCTTGTTATTATAGTGCAGCCCTGTTATAAAACAAGCTTCACTGTAGCACAAATTGCAATCGCACTCTGGATCATTTGCTTTCTGTGAGCCAAATGACTTTTTGCACTTAAATGAACAACTTCCAGGTCATAAGGTACCCTTGGTATGGAATCCCTCCGACTCACTCCTTCCCTCACCTCATTCAACATCGGTCTCAAGACCTGCCTCTTTGATTCTCCTTTGGCTAAGATCTTAAACTGAGGTCCATCTGTTCAGGTAGATCTTATGATCACTTCCCCCTCTCCATCCACCTTGGCAGAAAGGTTCTGTCTGCATTTTGCACCCAACTAAAAACTAAACCTGAAAATGATATCTGCACAAAATATTGGAGTGATATTCGTCTATTCCATAAAATAAATCTTTATTTTGCTTTCATGAAGACTGAGTAGTCTTTCACTAACAAAAGTTGTGACGCATGAAGGAGCAGATTTAATCAGTATGATAAATATTTATTCAATAGCATGAAAAGCACATCACATCATCAGAAAAATGCATCATTTTGTGCTTACTCTGTCATACACGGAATATCTGTGTGTGGCCCCAACTCACGCTCATGTCAGTTCTTTCAATAATTTAATGACGGATAATGTGTAAAGTTCCTGTTGCCCACCCTGTAAATGTTCTTTATCCACATCTCTGCTCATCTTCTTTACTATAATAACTTACTGTACCAATGTGCTGTTTCCATTTCCCACACATTGTTACATAAGGTTTCACACTATAGGTAGTTGGGTACTTTGGATGCGATGTAAAGCCAAGGTTCTGTCGGCTTCAGATCAGCGTAGAAGGCGCTATACAAATGTAATTTTGTATTCTATTGTATCTACATCAAAATTCCCATGAATATATTTGAAAATAGAAAGGAGGTTTGACCAGTGACTTAACCAACAATCATTTAGTCGGTCATTCACCTCACGGCTCTTTGTGTGACCATGTTATCAACTTAGTTCAATTGCTCGCATTTTCATCTTTCAGTCAGACTTTTGAGAGATCTAAGAGAACTGCAAACTCACAATCTTGTCTGACATTCCAGTCCGGTGTTGGGGGAGTGCTGCATTGTCAGAGGGACAGTCCTTTGGCTAAGATCTTAAACTGAGGTCCATCTGTTCAGGTAGTTCTTATGAAACTATGCTGAAAAGGGAAAGGAGTACCTCCTGATATTCTTATCAACAATTCATGAGATTATTTTGTCATTCACCTCATTGCTTGTGGGATCTTGTATTCAAAATAGCTGCTGTGTTCGCCTAGAAAATACAGTCACAACAATTGCTTAGAAACATCATGGCATACAAGGCACTAAAAGATTTCAAGTTCAAGTTATTTCTAATAAGTTATAGCTCAGTTGATAGCACCTTGGGACTTCTTCCTGATGTGAAAGGTGCCATATAAAGTACATTTGTATTGTATTATTATTTACAAGAGTTTACAACAGTTTTTGTAATGTTCAACCTTTAGCTTTAAATCAGAGCAATAGGTTATGAAATGAAAATACTGGACAAGCAACCTGATAAATATTTATTCAGTAGCATGAAAAGCACATCACGTCATCAGATAAAATGCGTCAATTTGTGCTTTATTGGTAAACTGTGCAAAAGGTACTTGTTGTTCTAGAATAACATCCTACAACGAATGATTGTATTTTAGAAGTTATATTTTCAACGTTTCATAACGTAAACACCACAAGGAACACATTACAAAATCCTGCAATTTTTAAAAAATCCTCTATATAATATTTACATATATAATGTCCTTGCATTTTATGATATTATATTTTATTATATTTTTGAATGCTTTCAAACAACGTGATAAGGTGCCATATCAAATGCAAGAATAATTATTAATATTAGTATTTTGCATTTGATTTAGTGCCTTTCACAGGGGAGAGGGGGACATCTCAAAATATTGCACAAAATTTTACTGCAATATGCAGTGACTGTATGACTGTATTTATAGGTGTACGCAGCAATCAATTTGTTCACAGCAACATCCCACAAACAGCCTTAAAGTGAATGATCAATTTTATTTGGCTGATTGTTGACAGGTTCTTTAACATCCACCTGAACAGGCAGACGGGACTTTGGTTTTATGCCTCATTTGAAGGAAGGTACTTCTGCAGTGCATCCACAGCACTTTATTTGAAATGTCAGCCTAGATTTCCCCACACGGGGTTTGAACTCACCACCTTCTGACTCAGAGATAAGAGTGCTACCAACTGGGCCAAATTTCACCCCACACTTTGTTCAGATGCTCTGCAATTTTCACTGTGTACAGAAAATCAAACCTATTTTCCCAGCCTCTATGTAGTTATTTGAGTTAATTCCCTGAGATACATTTTGACATTATGTACCCATAAAGAAAAGTACACACAGTGCTTTCCAACAGCTTGAATGACTAGTTAACTTGAATGACTGCAAAGAGTTGTATGTCAGTCCTATCCATTTTGCCCACAAATACAGCCAATCCACTTTACATCCAAATCCTGGATGAGAGCTAACTTTCTCCTGTTGAACGTCAACAAGACCGAGGCTCTCCTGATTGGCTCCCGTTAGCGCCTCCTCACCTCAGGCACTGGTAGCATCACCATCCATGGTTGCTCACTCCACCTCACCGAGCCAGTCTCAAACCTTGGCGTCTTGTTTGACCTTCAACTGCCATTTCTACCCCACATTCGTGCCATGACCCGCTCTGCCTTCCCCCACCTCCGCAACATCGCCAAGCTCCACCACTATCTCACAGTGTAAGCCACCAAAACCTTCATACATTCCTTCATTTAGGCCAACTTCCTGTTTGTCGGCTTAACTGTTCCCTCCACAAGCTTCAAGCTCTGTGATCTTATCACCCCCACCATTGTCCAGCTCCACTGGCTCCCCATCCCCACAGAGGATAAAGTTCAAAATCCTCGTCCTTGCTTTTAAAGCCCTTAAGAGCTCGCTCCTTCCGACTTCATGGAACTGCTAACGCCATATCGACCTGTCCCTCTGGTCAGCAGGCTCCAGCCTGCTCCACGTCCCTTGCCTGCCCTGCCCTGCCCCACCAACAGAGGTCGGGCCTTCAGTCTCTCTGCCCTACCATTTTGGAACTCCATCTCACAGTCCCTTCGCCTCACTCCCTCCCTTGCCTCCTTCAAGGCACGTCTCAAGACCCTCCACTTCAACTGTTCCTTTAACCCCCCATTCCTATCTCTACCCTCCCTGCCCTCCAAACATACCCTCCCCACCCCATCCCAACCCCCTGTTCTGTTCTTCCAGTTCTGGATCCATGCTGCCACTGTCCCTTTTATACCACGGGCTTCTATCTTTCTTACAAGTCTTTCATAATAATAATAATAATAATCCTTGCATTTGATATAGCGCTTTTCACGTCGGGAGGACGTCCCAAAGCGGTTCACAGAACACACTGTAAAGTGAATTGACTGTATATTTGTGGGCAAACGCGGCAGCCAATTGCGCACAGCAACGTCCCACAAACAGTCGTAGATTGAAAATGACCAATTTATTATTGTTTTTGGTTTTGGAGGGATTATTATTAGGCGTGTGGAGTAAGGAAACTTGCCCAAGGTTTCGCCCTGCCTGGAATTGAACTCAGGTCTCTCACTTGCAAAGCGAGTGCTCTAACCACTGAGCTACAGGACTCCACTTCATGTGGCACTTTGTCAAATGCCTTTTGAAAGTCCATATAAACTACATCAACTGCACTACCTTTATCTACCCTCTCCGTTACCTCAACAAAAAATTATTTTAGATTTGTTAGATACAAATTTGTTAATTTGTTGTTGTTGGACACCTCAACAACGTAATAAGTCGCTATATCTAATGCAAGGATTATTGTTATTATTACTCTTTGTATGAATAAGGGGATGATGATGGGGTTCCATAATATACCTGGCTGACCAAAAATAATTAAGGAGCCGTAAAACATCAGTAGGGTTGAAGAATAAAGTAGCGATTGATAAGCTTCTCCAGTAACTTTTCTTGCTTTGTACAGATATCACACTGTGTGATGAGGCGGTGTTTACATTTATCACCCGTCAGAAATTGACATCTCAGCAGCTGAGAAAACTGCTGGAGAATTTACCTGGGAAGAAAATGAATGTGGAACACTTGGATTGGAGTAGGAGGACAAATATGATCAAAATTCACCTTCTCCATCTTCTGAAACAATGGAAAATTGAAAATGATGGAGCAGATACTGTGAAGAGCTTACTGTATGGCCTGGAGTTAGCCAATATTCACAGTGTCTATCAAAAACTACTGCGCAGGCTTCATATAAACATGCCCATTGAAAACACTGTGAATTAAAAGGCTGGAATAATGGTTAGTATTGAGTAAGCAACAGACAGCCTTGACTTGTGGGTAACATGATAGAGCATTATCCTTTCTTGAGAAGCCTATCTGTACTGTTTTTAGAGACTGTTGCCAGACTTCCTTAGAATTCTACTGAGAATGTTTTCAAAGGTGACAACAGGGCATTGTAAAAATAATGGGGAGAAATGTGGTGAATGCTATGATATCACAAGTCATATTTTTGACCCCTAAAAGTAGAATAGAGGATATCTGTTGTCACTGTCTGTGTTTCTTCATTAAACTATCAAATTAATGTTTATTATATAAAACTAGGATGCATTATCTTCTGACTCTTGGATAGATGCTTGAAGTGATCCTGTGAGAAAGATTTGAGGCTAGGGAACCAGGGCCCGAAATGTCCATGACAAGGATTTAGAATTAAGATTTCTATTTCCAAAGCATCTCCTCCTTGAATCCCCGGAATTTCTTCCATAATCACTGTGAAAAGGAATTCATCCATTTCTCAATTTTAATCCATTTAGCCTTAATTTTGAAGTTATGTTCCTCTTGTACTTGATTGGCCTTCCAGGGGAAAAAGTCCAGTAATGGCATACAACTATTAGAGGGATTAGGAGCATCTTTTTTCGTCCCTAACCCTGGGAAGACCGGAGCCACTCAGCTCAATCTGAGACTCGCAAACTCAGCACGGACCAAGATTCAAACAAACAACAACAACACAACTTGCATTTATATAGCACCCTTCACACTGGAAGACTCTCCTCTTTGACAATGTCATCGATCACCCACTCCCACCCCACCTTTTCTGGCTCAGCGTCAAGCCATGCCACTATTGAATTGTTAAGAGTGGCATGGCTTGACCAAACTGAGAATGCCATGTATCCCACCTATACATGGAAATCCCAGAGATTGTTGGAGTGGAATGTGCCCTCTCTTCCTGGAGGGACACATCCTGTTTACCTAATTCCGGAAAGTATTAGGCACAGGTTGACAAGAGCCAAGGTTTAAGACCACAGGGTGTGGTTGGGGTACTGCTGGAGTCTAACCAGTTAAAACCGCTTAGCTTGCCATTGATATTGCTGTCTAGAAAGCTTTCCTGCTGCTTGTCCGGCTAGGATCACCCTTCCCAGTTGGGGTTTAGCTTGAAGGGTTAACAGGAGCTGAGTGGAATGACTCCCTGCCCCAGTGACTGGTCTGCCCTTCCAGGTCCTGCCAATGATCTGCTGTTATCAGCAATGCCCCGGAATACTGTGAATCTGCCTGACTCAGGAATCAGACTACCAAAACCACTAAAGAGGGCTATCTCAATTCCGAAATTCCATGTCACTTTGGAGCCAGTTCAGCTCCAGGAAGACCACGCTTACCTCTCCAGCTGACTCAACTATCACAGATGTTTTAAAATAAAACTTTGGGAAATGCGAATATGAATCACTCAGTTCACGTAAACCGGCAATGACCTAACTAACCAGAATTTGTACCACGAGTGTGGACAAAGAGGAAGGATTATGATCTTGTTAATGTAAGTTTGTGGCATCCTTGCTAGTGGGTCAGGGAGCCCACAAAGATTATTTTGCTCCTTGTCTTAACTCCAGTCAGTGTCCAGACATCACTTAGGATGTAAATGTAGTTGATCCACCAGTTTACAGTGAGCATAAGTCAATAACAAAACCATGCAACCAAACTCTAGACAGGTAAATTTAAGGGGTGTGAGGGCTGATCTAAGTGACAAAGACTGGGATGCCTTACTCATGGATAAATCAACAGAGGATGCATCGATTTCTTTCAATATCATTATGCACAGCATGCAGGACAAGTATACACTTCTGTGTAGCATTGCGAATTAAATAGAAATACTCCAAACTAGATCTACAAGAAAATAAGATTAAGAAAACACGGATTTACAAAGCTTGTAGGGAGAAAGGAGAACACAACCACTGAGCTGAATACAAAATTGTATAGAAAAAGATAAAAAGAGAAATTAGGGAAGCCAAGAGAGAATTGTGAAGATACACAGCAACAGGTGCATAAAACATTCTTCCAATATTACAATAGTAAAAGAGTAGTCAGGGAAGAAGATAAAATCCTAAGGGATCATTGCAAAGAGCATCACAGGATTTACAGTACCATGTAGTTACTCCTTAATTTTATAGGCAAATGCAGCAGGTATTCCCACAAACAGTCATGAAGTGAGTGACCAATTTTACTTTGTGTGATTGTTCGTCGGAACACCGGGAGAAATTCCCTTCTCTTTTTGAAAAGCGCCATTGGATTTTTAACCTCCACGTGAACAGTCAGATAGGACCTCAGCTTAACGTCCTCTGCCACTATCTCTCCTCTCAGGCTGACGAGAGTATCTTCCATGTTTTCATCACCTCAACAACAAGAACAACTTGCATTTATATAGTGCCACTCACGCAAGGTAGCAGCCCAGAGCGCTGACAGCTTGTATCCTCTACCACACTAAGATCCATGAATCGATCACCCCCATTATTGCCCAGATTCACTGGCTCCCCATTTCCCAGAGAATCAAGTTGATGATCCTTGTCCTCACCTTTCAAGCCCTCAAAGCCCTCCTCCCTACCTCTACGACCTACTAAAACTTTACCAACCAGTCTGTTTCCTCTGCTTGGCGGGCACTGGCTTGCTCCATGTCCCCTGCCTTGTCACTCCATCATTTGTGGTCGAGCCTTCAGACTTTCTACTTCATCGTGGATTCCCTCTGCTTCGCCCTCTCCTTTGCCTCATTTAAGGCCCGTCTCAAGTCTTTCCTCTTGACCGTGCCTTCAGTCATCCTCCCACCTCCACCGCCCCATGCTTTTCACTCCTCCAACCCCCAGTATGGGTGCAAGCCCTTGACTGTCCAGCAACTTTGGACATCCTCCCATCGTGAAAGATGCAATGTGGAGTCCTGTAGCTTAGTGGTTGGAGCACTTGCCTCGCACGCAAGAGACCTGGGTTCAATTCCCAGCAGGAGATTGAAACAAATTAAAACAATCATTGATTATTGAGACTTCCAGAAGGATAGACTTTAGTTGTGGAGGGCTGAGGAGACAGATGTGGTCAATGGATAATGACTGAATAATAATTACACAGTTAGAACATAAGAACATAAGAATTGCTAGATGAAAGAAGACCAAGGTCCATCCAGTTCACCTTCCACCATCACAGTAGTCGCATGATATTATTTCCTAAAAGAAATCTATCTAATTTGCTTTTGAAAGAATCGACACTTTCTGCTTCCGCCGTCTCCCCAGTGAGCCTGTTTCATACATTTACAACTCGCTCACTGAAACAGTATTTCCTCAGATTCGTTTTAAATTTATCCCACTTCAATCACAGGCCTTGTCCTCCAGTTCTACTGTTTTGGACAAGGTAAAACACTTATCATGGTCTACATTATCCAGTCCCTTTAGAATCTTAAAAAACACTATCATATCGTTTCTCAACCTTCTCGTTTCCAGCTTGAACATGCCCAGTTTACTTAATCGCTCCTTATAGTCCCTCCGTCCCATCAATCATTTTGGTTGCCCTCCTCTACATCCTCTCAATCGCCTGCAATATCCTTTTTCTACTGCGGTGACAGAAACTGCACACAGTATTCCAAGTGTAGTTGCACCAATGGTTGATAAAGTGACAAGGTTGTCCCACTACTTTGGCTCAATATTGCCCTTTTAAAACAATCCAGCCTTACTCACTGCCACCTAACATTGTTGGGAGAGCCTCAATATATTGTCAATCAGGACAACCAGGTCCTTTTTCATTTTCCATACAGATTATTTTCTTTCCATTTAAAAAATAGTTAATGTGAAAATAGAAAATCACCATCCCAATGCCATAAATATATCACAATTGAATCACTAAAGACTGGATTCAACTAAATAGAATCAGAAAGTCAGTAATAAAATAATAGAGGTTTTGATTATCATTTCCCAGAAGTCTGTAGATACAGCGGTTGTACCAGATGACTGGAGAGTGGTAAAAGTTCAACAATACAAATTTACATTTATATAACACCTTTCACGTCAGAAGGACACCTCAAGGTGCTGGGCAGTCTAAGGTTGCATCCAACCTGGGGTTAGGGGCTCAGGCGGTGATGTGGGGCTGGGGGGAGGGGTTCAAGGACAGTAAGGGGAGAGATGGCTGAAAGTATAGTGAGAGAGGAAAGATTTGGGGTGGACCTTGAAGGAAGTGAGGGATTCAGAGAGTGGAGGTAGGTACACTGAAAGCCTGACTACCAATGGGCCAGAGGATGTGAAGCAAGCTAATGTCCACTGAGAGGAGGGAATAGATGGGTTTGAGGAGGTTGTAGAGGTGGGATGGGGCAAGACCACGGAGGGCTTTGAAAGTGAGGACCAGGATCTTGAACTGTATCCTCTGTGTGATGGGAAGTGCGAGGATGGGGCTGATAGGATCATGGAGGCTGGTGCGGGAGAGGACATCGGCTGCAGAGTTCTGGATGATCTGCAACTTACAGAGGGAGGAGTTGGGGAGGCTGACAAGAAAGGAGTTTGCATAGTCAAGCCTGGATGTTATGAATGCTTATATGAGAGTCTCGGCGGCCTGCAGTGTGAGACAGCGGCAGAGCTAGGCAATGTTGCGGAGGTGGGAGAAGGCAGAGCAGGTCAAGGCACGGATGTGGGGTAGAAAGGATAGTTGAGGGTCAAACAAGACACTAATGTTCCGGATTGGTAAGATGGAGTGTGCATCCATGGATGGTGATGCTGTCAGCGCCTGAGGTGTGGAGGCGCTGACGGGAGCCAATCAAGGGGTTCTCGGTCTTGTTGACATTCAGCTGTAGAAAGTTAGCTCTTATCCAGGACTTGATGTCTGACAGACATTCTGCAGCTTGTGAAGGGAAGAGGCAAATGACTCACATGGCATAAGTGAGCAGACAGTTGGCATAAACAATCCCGGACATGATAATAATCTTTGTATTTGATATAGCACCTTATCACGTCTTCGAGACATCTGAAAGCGCTTCACAAAATATATTGTAAAGTGACTTGGCTATATTTGTGGGTGAAACGTAGCAGCCAATTGTGCACAGCAATGTCTTACAAACAGTCATGGATTGAGTGACCACATTTTTTTTTGAAGGGTTATTACCCCCCGAAAAGTGATCTGCAATTGACTAACAACTGGGTTCCTACTTTCTGCAAGGTAAACAGAGGTGTGTGGAATAAGGAAACTTGCCTAAGCTTTCACTCCGACCGAGAATCAAACGGCAAGCAGCAAGGGCTCTAACCTCTACATTACACCATTAAATCATCTTAGCCGTACTTCAAGGGCCGTGAGGTAGACACAAAACATATTTGAGCTTGGGCTGAAGTGTTGCACACAGAAGGAGATGGAACATGCACATTGAAAGCTGCATTAAAAAATTGGACCAAAGCCTATGAAACGAGCAATTCAGAATCACAAGAGGCTCTTGAATCTTGGTAATCACTTAGGTCATGGCTAGGTCCTGCTTCAAAATATCGTTGAGGGTTGGCATAAACCCATTGATCATGACATATCCCTGTCTGCACATCATGATGTTTGCCAACGTGGTCATTGTTTATAATGAAAGCAATAAAAGCAATATATATTATAAGCTATATTGAAAAAGTTTTGGCAATAATGACTGTGTAGGAATTGCAGTTAAACATGATCCAGACAGATACATTACAAGTATCTGTTCACAACTTGGCATTCCACTATTCCACCTCCTCGCATGGCCATTAAATACAAAAGCATATGTTGATACTCGCTCCAGCCTGAGAAATCCTGCGTTTCACCTGTGGAGTCCAAGGTTCCAAAGCAATGCCATTTACATGTTAGTTCTTGATGCTGTTTCCTAGGGAGTTACAGAACATCTATTAGAGACCTACTGACATATGTGAACTTATTAGTACACTCCAAAGTTTTAGCAGCTGGTAAAAGCTTGGCATAAATATATAGCTGATTCCAAGCATCCCCACGCTCCTCACGATACTGAATGTGCAGTAAGTCAAGGTGGGTAATAACAATGATAAGCATGATCATCTCCGACAACAATAATTTCTAGGTAACACTACATGGAGCCATAGAAGGAGCTCCATTCTGTCTGTTTTTCCAAGTCATGCTTCTCTATTATATTATTATTATTGAAATGATATTTTGGTAATTTTTAAGCGTTTGATATGATAATAATCACCAGGTGGACATTATAGATCCTGAGCAGGTTGGTAATGTGTTAGCTAGTATGTCACAGAGATAAGGCTTTGTAACTGAGGACAAAGCTCTTAAACTCGATCCTCTGGGGGCTGACATTGTGAAGCCGCGTAAGGATGGGGATGATTGACTCAAGGAGCTGATGTGGGAGAGGATATGAGCTGCAGAGCTCTGAATAATCTGCAGCTTGTGGAGGGGAGAGATGGGAAGTCCAGCGAGCAGGCAGTTGGGGTAGTCAAGCCTGAATGTGATCAACTGGAAAAACGTGATATCTCGGCAGCCTGAGGGGAGAGGAGGTGGGAGATGACTGAACATGTCAAGGAATCAACAGCTGGGTTCCATGAACAACAACAACAACAAGATTCCATTTATTGAGCGCCTTTCAAGTCGGGAGGACGTCCCAAGGCGCTGGACAGTTGGGTCAGGACCCGAGCAGGGGGGAAATGGTCAGGGTGAGGGGAGGGAAGGGAGGGAGCGAGGAGGGAGTAGAGAGTCGAGAGGGGAGCTGAGGCACGGTCAAAGAGAAAAAGTCTGAAGTCTGGAAGATGGTTGAGAGAACATTTTCTTCCAGCTGGTCAGGCTTTGATGTGAATGTGCTGAAACATATTTAAGTTAGCCAGCGACAATGACCACTTTCTGAAACAGCTTAACTTCAACAAGTCATTTGAAGCAACAACAAACTTCAGTGATTCTTTAAGATCAAAGACCTTTTTTTCAGGTGTGAGAAAATATCTGAAATTGTTTTAACTAATATCGGTGATGGCGAGAAGGGACGTCAGATCACTGGGAGGAACAAAGAGGGAGAGAAATAGAGAGAGAGAGAGAGACTTGATTATTTCCTGTACCATGAAGAAAAGTACTGTTTTCCTAAGCAAAACAATTTGTCAACAAAACTTTATTCTTATTAATTGTATTAATTATTTTATTTACGACTTTTAAAGTCTATGTACAGTATATATAAATTTATGGTATTCTTTTAGCATTTGGAATTAAAAGCTTATGTTTTAATTGGACAAAGTTTTGGTGAGATTTTTGATCTTTATTTCATGGTGCTGAATCAATAGAGATGAGTTAAACAATCAAACATGAGTGACCTTAAGCATTCATAAGACTCACTCTTTCTAAAAAAGAGTGGGTGCACTTATCAGACCCTTGACCGTACAACTCACACACCTACAAATTTCTGGAAAATAATAGTCAGAGCCTCAATTATTTCATCATTATCTTCTTGCAATATTCTTGGAAGCATACCATTGTGACCTGGAGATTAATGTTGTTTAAGCCCAATTCACTTGACAGTATATTCTGTGAAGCGCTTTGAGATGTCTCGAAGATGTGATAAGGCAGGCACTATATCAACTGCAAGGATTGTTGTTATTGTTTATGTTTCTCTGCAGTCCTTTTTGATAATGTTTCTTAGCCATGGTTATCACTTTTTTTTCCCACATCACTCCTGTGCTTAACATATAACCTGGCTCAGTCGGTAACATTCTTGACTTTGATTCAGGTGGTTGAGGGTTCAAGCCCCATGTCGGGACTTTGGAGTCAGTAGTCTAGGCTACTATATTGCTAGTGAGCACTGACTGACTTTAAGCGCTCTGAGACGCCGCCCGGCGTGGAGGACGCTATATAAATCCAAGTTGTTGTTGTTGTTGACTGCTGGTGGTGCGTTTCTTTGGCAAAGATATTAATCTGAGGTCCATTCTGCTCAGATGGATGTTAAAGATCCCATGACGCTAATCGTAAAGAGAAAGGATTTTCTCTTGGTGTGACTGGCCAACACCGCCCAGTAAAATTGGTCAATAACCTAAATTTTTTTGGTGAGATGTGTGCAAATTGGCTGCCACATTCTCCAACCTTAGAGCGGTCACTGCCTTGAAGTCGCTAACCTGCCTTGGCTCATTGTCCAGCACCAATACAAGCACTACATTTTTTTCTCCTTACTGTCATTCTCATTATCACTGTTATTTCTTTCTATTGCTATACTGACGCATTCTCCTGTAAATATACGTTTTCCTGTTCAGTTTCCACAATGTGACAACAGTGTCACGCTCAAGCGACTAGTTTTGAAGATTGAGGGGGATTATCGAGAATATATAATTTACCAGAAGTATGACGAGCAAACTTTCTGGCAATCCCTCTGTGCGGTGTATATAAACTCAGCGTCGCCACCGCTCAACAGCACCTCCAGCAGCAGAGATGCATCTCAGCAAAGCGGTGAGTGATTGTCACAGACACACAGACACACTGACCGACTGCAGCCACGAGAGACGCCTCACCATCCGCATGTACTGTATTGTGCTGGGGATGGGCTGGGGCTGTGCTGGGGCTGTGCTGGGGCAGTGCTGGGGATGGGCTGGGGCTGTGCTGGGAATGTGCTGGGAATGTGCTGGGGCTGTGCTGGGGATGGGCTGGGGATGTGCTGGGAATGTGCTGGGAATGTGCTGGGGCTGTGCTGGGGCTGTTCTGGGGCTGTGCTGGGGATGTGCTGGGGCTGTGCTGGGGATGGGCTGGGGCTGTGCTGGGAATGTGCTGGGGATGGGCTGGGGATGTGCTGGGAATGTGCTGGGAATGTGCTGGGGATGGGCTGGGGATGGGCTGGGGTTGGGCTGGGGATGGGCTGGGGATGTGCTGGGAATGTGCTGGGAATGTGCTGGGGCTGTGCTGGGGCTGTTCTGGGGCTGTGCTGGGGATGTGCTGGGGCTGTGCTGGGGATGGGCTGGGGATGTGCTGGGAATGTGCTGGGGATGGGCTGGGGATGGGCTGGGGTTGGGCTGGGGCTGTGCTTGGGGCTGTGCTGGGGCTGTGCTGGGGATGTGCTGGGAATGGGCTGGGGATGGGCTGGGAATGTGCTGGGAATGTGCTGGGGCTGTGCTGGGGATGTGCTGGGGCTGTGCTGGGGCTGTGCTGGGGATGTGCTGGGGATGTGCTGTGAATGGAGCCATTATGTCAAACTGGTAAAGTAGAAGGTAACAGCGTAAGTCACATCAGTCGATGTGCAACCGATTCATGACGAGGGTTTTAACTGTTTGCGAGTGATGCATACACACGTGAGCTCTAATGACAACCTTATTCAGTTTTGAATAAGAAGATATTATTGAGATTTACTTTAGTGATTAATGCAGATGAATATAGCAGGTCATTCTTAAATATGAGAATAACAGATACCTGGGGTGATTGGCAGTATAGCAACATTATGAGGTTCAAAGCAGATTGAAATTCCAATGAGAAAAATAGGAAAACAGGAACAGGAGGAGGCCATTCAGCCCATGGAGTCTGTTCCACCAGTTTATTGGACCCTAGCAGTACCCCAACATAGACTCCGGAGTCCCTACATTTTGGCTCTTGCTAACTTTCCGGAATTATATAAGCGGGATGCATCTCTCCAGGGAGAGAGTGCACATTCCACTCCAACAATCTATCTCTAGGATTTCCATGTGGGATGGGTGGGATGCACGCAAATCTCAGTTTGGTTTGGATACTCTTAAGCATGCTGATTATTTTCCTCATGTGTCAGACACCGACCGGGCTGACTGAGATTTTGCTAGATCTTTTAATCCCCGAATACTTCTACTACACCAAGGAACACCGGACCCATTATCACTTAGTCTACTCATATCCACATACTCTTAAACTCAACACCATTGTCCTAAACATTAAGAATCCTTAAAATACTGAATTTTGGAAAATTCTATAAAGTAGCCTTATTTTGTAAAGTGCAAGTCCGTTTAAGAACTGCAGAAAAAACTTACTTCTGATTTGAGTCTGAATTTAAGATTCTCTTGACAATTCTGCATGATTTTAAAATTTGCGCCAATGACTTTAAGGCAAAGGCCAGGTGAAAATCAAGGCATGTGAGTCATAAGCCCATGGGAGATAGACGGGGAAGTTTATAAACATTATTTGAGTCCAAAACGCAATATCAGGTGTGAAATCATTGGTGTGTATTTTTAAATGTTTTAATAATGGTTACTGTTGTCAGTTTCACTGTCCTTTGAATCAGTTTTCTGAAAGGCTTTTAGAAAATGTAGCTGCTGAAAGATTAATTTGACACCATTTGACCCATCATCATCATGTCATTTCCTCCAATATTTTATCCTGACGCTGCCACTCATTCCGATGAGGAGTATGCCAGGGCTCTATTTTTGGCCACCTCTTTTTTCTGATTTACACACTCACTTTTGTTGACATCGTTCACAGATATGGGATCAATTTTCATATATGTGCAGACAAAACCCAAATCTACTTTTCCTCCTCCTCTAGTCGCGAACCCAGATCCACCGAAGTTCTCTCTGCATGCTTGTCAGATGAGCTCCAACTTTCTGCAGCTGAATGAGGACAAGATGGAAGCCCTCCTCCTTGGCTCCCGTCAGCGTCTTCACAACTGCAGTACCAACCTCCTTAATCTCTATGGCATATATTCCTCAGACTCATCAAAACTGTGTGCAACCTATGTGTCTGGTTTGATCCTCAGCTGAACTTTCTACCCCATATCCGATCCCTGACCAATACACTTTCCTCCACCTCTGCCACATACTTCCAAAATAATGAGAAGACAGTCAATATCTTTTACAAGGCAATTACTGTAACGAGACAGCTAATTTCTTAAAATCTGTCCAAAGAACTCAACTATGACTATCATAGGAATTCCTGAGAGAATATTTTAGTTTTACGTAAGGTAAAATTCCATTTGGGATAGTTTGTTAAAGCTGTACTACCTGTACTGTACTGTGTGAATTATCAGTGTGTCAATAGAGTGGTCTTATACTTGATTTAAACTCCAGTCAAGCCAAAGAATGAATGGAATGGCTTAAACTGATTCTAATTTGTATATTTCATCAAGAGATTCCTTATTAAGTATTCAGAGTCAAGCAAATGGAAATGCCTTCAAAAATATGTGTAATATGTCTGCGCAAAATCGAATAATTCACCTACAAAATACCCAGTCACTACACTTTACAGTAAATCCTGCGAAGCCCTTTGAGACAGCCTCCTGACATGAAAGGTGCTATTTCAAAATTAAGGATTATTATTATGATAAATATTAACTTCACACAACTTCAAAGTATTTGTTTTATTGATGGAGAATCTTTAGGTGGTTTCCTTCATTCTGTGTCAATGTGGAGATTGAACTGTTTTTTCATGAGCTTTGATTCAAAGCTACATAGGCTGTGTTAATGAATGTATGAATGCTGTATTTTTAAACAGGTGCTAATCTCAGTTTTCCTTTACACACTGTAGTGCTTGCTTAGTTTGGCCAGCGTCCTTATTGTTTGTGCAAATCAAGCTGAATGCCAGCAAACCGTACCCACCTACCAGCACAGGGACCAGGAGACAGGACAGATGCTGACATGCAGCCGTTGCCCTCCAGGAAAGCATATGGTGAAACACTGCACAGGTCAAGATGATACTTTGTGTGCACCCTGCTTAGAAAACCACTACACACAGTTTTGGAATTATGTAAAGAAATGTCTATACTGCAATACTTTCTGCAGTGAAAACCAATACACTAAACAGGAATGTAACTCAACTCACAACAGAGTGTGCGAATGCAGAGATGGTTACTTCTTGGAATTTGAATTTTGTGCAAAGCACAAAGAATGTGATCCTGGATTTGGAGTTAAGATTGCAGGTAAAATAATGATAATCCTTGCATTTGATATAGCACCTTATCATGTCTCCGAGACGTATCAAAGCGCTTCACAGAATATACTATAAAGTTAATTGATTGTATATTTTGTGGGTGAAAATTCCTTAAGTGCTCTCTTGTTTGCAATCTGTTTTTTGTCAATGACACAATTCTTTAATTCTCTGAATTGAAGATTTTTTAAAATTTAACAGAATATATATTTATTTGTTGATAAATAAAACTTTTTTTAATGGGGGGGGAAGGTTTCCTCTGCGCACTCCACTTTGGTGCAGGGACCAAGGCTTCTGCTATAAGTAGCAAATAATGCATATTAAAATAATGAGGTTGATAAGTGTGCATCTTTGACCGTGCCTTCAGCTCCCCTCTCGACTCTCTTTCCCCTCCTCGCTCCCTCCCTTCCCTCCCCTCACCCTGACCATTTCCCCCCTCCTCACTCCCTCCCTTCCCTCACCCTGACCATTTCCCCCCTGCTCGGGTCATGACCCAACTGTGCAGCGCCTTGGGACGTCCTCCTGACGTGAAAGGCGCTCTATAAATGGAATCTTGTTGTTGTTGTTGTTGTTGTTGTTGCATCATTTGGTTCAGGTGATTCACTTTGTTTGGGTTCATCTCTTACAAACATTCTATTGTGGCCAGATGTTTTCTGATGGAAACGCATAGTTTTCGCTGTAGTGATGTAACACATTTTGTGTACATTAGAGTTCCCTTGCAATGTATGTCTGAACCATCCATCTTCATTTTCTGGACTATAGTGCGATTTCCCCATTATAAATCAATAACAAAAACATCACCATTTCAGCAATAGCTGCCCCCCATTGTGACTTTCTGAATGAAACACACGTTTGTCTTTTCGTAACTAATAATAATAATTCTTGCATTTGATATAGCGCTTTTCACGTCTTCTAGATGTCTCAAAGCGCTTCACAGAATATGCTGCAAAGTGAATTGACTGTATGTTTGTGGACTGTCTTTGTGTCTCTACGTTTTTTACACAATACTCACCATAATTGTGGAGTCCTGTAGCTCAGTGGTTAGAGCACTTGCTTTGCAAGCAAGACACCTGGGTTCAATTCCAGGCAGGGCGAAACCTTGGGCAAGTTTCCTTACTCCACACGCCTAATAATAATCCCTCCAAAAAACCCAAAACAATAATAAATTGGTCATTTTCAATCTACGACTGTTTGTGGGACATTGCTGTGCGCAATTGGCTGCCGCGTTCGCCCACAAATATACAGTCAATTCACTTTACAGTATATTCTGTGAAGCGCTTTGGGACGTCCTCCCGACGTGAAAAGCGCTATATCAAATGCAAGGATTATTATTATTATTATTATTATTATTATTATTATTATTATTATTATTATAATGTATTTTTTCACTCTGCTTGTCTTATCAGGCACTCCACACATGGACACACAATGTGAAATATGCCCTGACGGTTTCTATTCATCGATAAGTTCTACCACTGAGCAATGTAAGAGACACACAGACTGCAGTGCATTGGATTTAAAGCTGGACGTTCCTGGTACTTCATTATATGACAACTTGTGTGGTCCCTGCCAGCCTGGTTCCTCCAAAGGTGTTTATAAACTTTTATTCTCTCACATGCAAATTTGAACAAATGTGCAGCAATAGCCCAAAATCTGCTCTTTTAGACTGGCCGATAAGTTTTTAGTAAGGCATTATACAAATGTAATTTGTTGTTCTTGTTGTTGCAAGTATTAATAAAGTGCTTTGTTAGAGCATATTTGACCACCTGTAGTGATATGGTAGTACAGTTTAGGAATCCAGTTTTGGTCAGGCTTTCAAGTTTGGGGATTTTCTTTGGAGATGCTCACCTACACATCCACAGTCATTAAACTTCACAGTAAATCCTGTGAGACATTTTGGGATAAATTGCTGCATCAAATGGAAAGATAATTGGTATTTTGGATTTCAGTGAATAAACATAGATTGAAAATATAGGAACACCCACCATAAAAGGTAGTTTTTATGAAAGATGTTGGCATGATCTTCAGTGCTCCCTGTCTCCATTACAGTAGTTAATAGTAGAGTAGAAGAACCTCTTAGAATGTTAATTCACACTCAACAAAAGAACAATCTGTTGCCAGAAACCACTGGTGGAACTTAGATAGTTTGATATACTTGGTGAAACCTGTTTGATGAATTCTTCTGCTTTTAAGAAGCCAAAACTACCCTCCACCTCCTATTCCGGGATCCGTAACTGTGAAGCGCTCTGAGACGCCGTCCGGCCTGGAGGGCGCTATATAAATCCAAGCTGCTGTTGTTGTTACTCCAGCTCAGGTGCCCAGTCAGTGCTTCAAGACATCCTTCCAACTTGAAAGGCGCAATATAAATGTAAATTGTATTGTATTGTACAGTAGCATCTGCCTATAAAATAATTTTTTTTCTTTTTTTTAGTACTTAAATTGGGCTTGTTTTTTGGGTTGGAGCATTTATAACAATATTCACAACATTGAATTGTTAAATTCAATGACCTTTTCTATTAGGTTATGTCATACCATATATTTGCACTGGCGCTAGTGCTGTCTCTTTAAGCTTTGTACACAGATGTTACAAGACTACATTTTTGAATGAAGACGGAGACTGATTCAGATTCTGATCAGGTTTAACTTTGTTTGGATGAACTTGAATCAGAACAGAAAATCTCTCTGTTTGAGTTTGAGTCCGTCTAACTCCTGCCCATTAATCTTGGTTTCTATTATCTTCATTGAACATAATGTTACATCCTGAAATAGCTGATTAACAGACCCCAAGTTATTCTCTATGACGTCTAGAAACATAGATGTGGTTAAATAATTTCCTGCAGTCCTGCATCCTGACTTTGATGATAGTTGGGACGTTCTCCCGACATGAAAGGCGCAATACAAATGTAATTTTGTATTGTGTATGTGCTCTTTATCCAAAACTCTTATGAGTCTTCATAGTCTGAGTCACTACATCCCTAAACAGCAAGTGGAATTGTTCTCCTATGCTCTTCTATTGTGTGGCTGAGGGCATCACCACAGTCAGCCAGTTCAGTCATTGATGCCACCGGGGAGAGAAAATTCAGGCAGGGAGGGAGCAAATTTATTGGCATCTCTTCTAACAGTTTAAAAGATTTGTGCTTTTCTTTTATATTTGTCGTATGCTTTTTTAAAATCTTAAATCAATACAAAATTTGCTCTTTTTGTTCTTTCTTCCAGAGGGTCTTTCCAAGTGCGAAGAAATATTTTTCTATTTCGTATCACAACAAAATTTGAAGCAACGCCAAATTTTCAGTATAGGAAAAACTCTGCTTAAGCTGCCCAGAGCTAATATATTGGAAAGATGGAATAAGGGACAGCATCAGCAGCAAGTTATAGATTATCTAATAGAATGGAAGAGAAAGCAGAAAAAGAGGATAACCGTAGAAATGTTAGTGGGAGTACTGAAGAGAAGCAAAATGAACTCACTTGCCAGAAAAGTGTCAAACAAGTTCCTTAAAAAAATGATGGATTCAGTGCAAAATAACGAGATTTAATATCGACTGCCTTGCAGAGGTATTTTAAAGAAAATCAAAGGCAAGTTAGTTGCTTCCCAGATTCTATTCATTTTTCACAATATATTTCCATCTCAGTATTCTTCAAGCAGTTTAATAGTGATTAATGTGTGAATTTCTACTCATCTACCAATGGAACTTAGAAACTGTCTTGATTTTAAAATGACATTGTTTCAAAAAATTTTGTAAATTAAATAGCATTTATTGCACAAAGTCAATGGATCTCATTGTATTATTTGGACTGATTCATGGAGATGTGTGTCAAGGGAAACCCATCATTTCATTTCACGAATCACATATACAGAACTACCACACTGAAACAGACCATTCAGCCCACCCTGGTGTTGTTGATACTCCACCTGAGCCTCATACCCATGCTAATTCCCCACTTCTCTAGCCACACCCATACTCCTCTACGCCCTTCACGTTTGTATAGAATTTCCTCTTAAATCCATTCATGTTTTTTGTTCCACCTGTAGCATCTGACATTGAGTTCCACATTCTCATCTCGAAAATAAATTCCTTTGAACTTCTCTTTTAGATCTGTTAGTGACTATCCTATATTTACACACACTTGTCATGGACTCGCCAACAAGTGGAAAGAGTCTATTTATGTTTACTTTAATGAGACCATTTATAATTTTAATCATTTCTAGGTCCCCCTTCAATTGTTGCAGATTACTTGAAAGGCTAAACTGGCAATTGGACGTTGACCAATGAGAAGCAAGCAGGAAGCATAAAAGGATTTTGGGAAAGGGATTGGGCAACATAGTCACTAACAGATCTAAAAGAGTTTAGAGGAATTTACTGGGCAACAGCAAAATTACATTTGTAGAGCACCTTTCACGCCGGGAGGACGTCCCAAAGCACTGAACAGTCAGGTGTCGTGGCCCGAGCATGGGGGAGGGGTGGGGTAGGGGTGAGGGAAGGCACAGAAGTGGGAGGGTGACCAAAGGCCCGGTCGAAGAGAAGGGTCTTGAGACCGGCTTTCAAGGAGGCAAGGGAGGAAGCGAGGCGAAGGGACTGTGGGATGGAGTTCCAGAGTATGGCAGCAGAGAATCTGAAAGCCCGGCCAATGATGGTAGGGCGGGTCAGGCAGGAGACATGGACCAGGCCGGAGCCCACTGAATGGAGGGAGTGGGCAGGTTGGTAGGGAGTCAGCAGGTCAGAGAGGTAGGAGGGGACAAGCCCATGGATAGCCTTAAAGGTGAGGATGAGGATCTTGAACTCGATCCTCTGGGGGATGGGGAGCCAGTGGAGTCGGGCGAAGGTGGGAGTGATGGGGTCGTGGAGCCTGGTGTGTGAGAGTACAAGAGCTGCAGAGTTTTGGAAGTTCTGCAGCTTGTGAAGGGAAGAGTTGGGAAGGCCGATGAGAAGGGAGTTCCCATAATCGAGCCTTGATGTAACAAATGTGTGGGTGAGGGTTTCGGCAGCTTGAGGGGTGAGGCACTGGTGGTGTCTGGCAATGTTGTGGAGGTGATGATAGGCAGTGACGGTCATGGCACGGATGTGGGGGAGAAAAGACAGTTCAGGGTCAAACAAGATACCCAAGTTCCTGACTGGCTTAGAGAGGTTGAGTGTGCAGCCGTGGAGGCTGATGCTGCCAGTGCCTGAGTAGTCCCGGAGTTCAATGTGGAGGCAGAGAGGTAGAGTTGGGTGTCATCCGCATACATGTGGAAATTTACCCCATGTCTGAGGATGATGCCACCAAGGGGGAGCATGTAGAGGGTGAAGAGGAGGGGACCAGGGACAAAGCCCTGAGGAACACCACACAAGACGGTGTGGGGCTGTAGGAGAAGCCGTTTGCTGTGACGAAGTGGCGGCGGTGTGAAAGGTAGGACCTGAACCAGTCAAGGACAGAACCTTGAAGGTTGAGGTGGGAGGAGAGAGGTTGGAGGAGGATTGAGTGGTCCACGGTGTCAAAGGCGGCAGAGAGGTCGAGGAGGACCAGGATGCAGAGGGAGTCCTGGTTACACATGGTCAAGATGTCATTGTGACCTTGACCAGAGCAGTTTCTGTGCTGTGAACAGCTCTCTCAAGGACCTTGGATGGGAAGGGGAGATTTGAGATGGGCCGATAGCTGGATAGCTGTGATGGGTCAAGGGAAGGTTTCTTCAAGGTGGGGTTGATAATGGCTGTCTTGAGGGAGGAAGGAGCAGTGCCAGATGACAGGGAGAGGTTAATGATATCAGCGAGTAGTGGGGAAAGGAGGTGGAGCTGGGATTTAAGGAGAGGGGAGGGGATGGATTCCAGTGAGCAGGTAGTGGGCTTCATGGAGGATATGGTGGTGAAGACAGAGGAGGGGTTGACAGGTTCAAAGGTGTGGAAGGAGGAATGGGTAATTGTCAGATGGGTATCTGTGTGGGGTGGGGTTAGGGAAGGGTTGAAAGTTGGGAGGGCAGTGGCAGCTGAGCGGATTCCCTCGATTTTGGATGAGGAAGTCCAGCATTTTCTCGCAGTGAGAGTCAGAGGAAAGAATTGGTGAAGCATGGCGGGGAGGCGGAGGAGCCAGTTGGTGGTGGAGAACAGGAGCCTGGGGTTTCCCTTCGCCTCCAGGATTAACCTGGAATAGAAGGATGATTTGGCTGAGGTGAGAGCAGAGCAGTTGATCTTGATGAGGTCCAGCCAGATGTGGTGGTGGACCTTTAGGCTGGATTTGAGCCAAGTGCATTCGGCAGACCGCACCTGTCCCTTAAGTGAGCAGGGGTGGCTGGTAAACCAGGGTGAGGATCGGGAATAGGAGGCAATTTGGGAGGTGAGGGGGACAAGGATTTTGAGTGTGGTGGAGAGGGTGCTGTGGACAAGAGTAAACGCAGTGAGTAGGTTGTTGCAAAAGGTGGGCCAGAGGAGGAGGAGGTCAGAGGACTCCAGGGCAGTGGAGAGGGATTGTGGGGAGATCTTCTTCCATGGGTGGTAGAAGATGGTGATAGGTTTGGAGGCAGTGGGGAGAGGGATATTGGAGTTGGGGGAGATGAAATGGTGGTCAGAGATGGCCTTGTCAGTGATGGTGACATCCGAGATACTGAGGCCCCGGGTGATCACCAGGTCGACCGGGTGACTATGGGTTTGGGTAGCAGAGTGGATGTGGAGGGAGAGGCTGAGAGAGGAGAAGTCTGAGGAGGTGGAGCAGGAGGGGGTGAAGTGGCGGTTGAAGTCGTCTAGGATGATGAGGTGGTCGGGGCAGAGGGAAGCAAGGAGGGTGGAGATGTCAGATATGAAGGTGGGAGAGGATTTTGGGGGGTGGTAAAGTAAGAGAATTTTTAGAGAGAGGTGGGAAGGATGGCAGAGGCTAAGATATTCGAAAGAAGGGAACGAGCCAGTGGAGTAGGGGGATAGGGAAAGTAACGTCCTGGATATGAGGGCCACACCACCGCCATGACAGTTGGGGCGTGGGGCATGGTGGTAGGTGTCGCCGGGTAGTGTGGCCTCAATAAGGGGGAAGGTGTCACCTGGGGTGATCCAGGTTTCCGTGAGGGCCATGATGTCAATATTCTCATCGAGAATGAGATCATCGACGGCCAGGGTCCAGTTGGAGATGGAGTGGACATTTTGAAGGCCAATGCAGAGTGGGCAGTTGACAGGGGGATGTGTGGGATGGGAGGGGGTAGTGAGTTGGTTGGGAGGGAGGGAGGGTGGGGATGCAGATGAGAGAGGAGAGGTTAGCCCCTGGGGTCAGGGTCCGGGGTGGCTTGCGCCTGTAGTGGGGAATTGTGGATTGAGGACTAATACATAATGTCAGAAGTAAAAATGTAACCTGGAGTGAAATGGACGGTTTGAAAGAAATTTTTGGAATAGCATCAGAGATGATGAAACTGCCACAGGCATGTAATGAAACAAACTGTTGAATGTCTCACTGCAGATTTGGCGAACATGACTAAAACGATCTAAGTTGGGAACGGAGAAGATAAGCAGTCTGCGATCTTTTTGAATATAAGGGAATATTTTGGAACCCTAGAGAGAGGTGGACATGCCAGTGGAGGAGTTGATGATTATTATGGTGGAAAGATGCTGTGGGAAAAATAATGTAATAATTGACTGATTTAAATTTGGAACAGGAAATAGGGACCCAGAATCATTCCACCAGAATTGTGTGGAACTAAGATCCCAAAGTAAATGCTGCAATTACGGAATATTAAGAAAGGAAATGATACAGGACCAGATTGTTGTTGGCATAAAAGATAGTAGATTACGAGGAACGCTTTTGAAAAAAGGAGATCTAACGTTACTCGCCTGGCTCCCCATTCCCCAGAGGATCGAATTCAAGATCCTTGTCCTCACCTTTAAGGCCATCCGTGGACTTGCCCCTCCTATCTCTCTGATCTGCTGACTCTCTACCAACCTGCCCGCTCCCTCCGTTCATCAGGCTCCGGCCTGCTCCATGTCTCCCGCCCTACCGTCGGTGGCCGAGCTTTCAGCCTCTCTGTCCCCACACTCTGGAACTCCATCCCACAGTCCCTTCGCCTCGCTTCCTCCCTTGCCTCCTTCAAGGCCGGTCTTAAGACCCTTCTCTTCGACCGGGCCTTTGGTCTTCCTCCCACCTCTCTGCCTTCCCTCACCCCTATACCACCCCTCCCCCATGCTCGGGCCCCAACACCTGACTGTTCGGTGCTTTGGAACGTCCTCCCAACGTGAAAGGCGCTCTATAAATGTAATTTTGTTGTTGTTGTTACAATCGGCAATGGAGATAATAAGGATTGAAGAAGTGACAAAAATAAATATGTGAGATATGGGAAGAGACACAGAAATGGAACTAGATGAACTGCCAACAGACAAAGTTGAAATGATACAGATGAAGAGTATGGACTACAGAGAATATACAGGGCTGGAGAGGGGCCAAACAGAATGGACAAGTGTGGCAATGCGAATTAGAACATCCTATGAGGTGATGTCCTGCAGAAGAAAAAGAATGCTATAAATGCAAACGATATGGGCATTATGAAGGAATAAACAAGAAACTATGGAGAGATATAGCAGATACAAAGCACAGGAAAACAGAAAGAAGAGAGTACAAGAGGCCAAATAACCTGAGGAGAACCAGAATTGGGCAAATTAGATCCAGGGAATATGAAAGAAATGTAAGACTATATTTGTGATGTTTAATAAATGTTTAAGGCTTTTAATCAATCTTTATATACATTTAGAATGT